AAATCATTCAATAATAATGTGCACACATTATTCCTTCAGTATGAACGAAAATTGACTAGAATTCAAAATCATGAGTTGCACTAATTTCAATTTGAACAATTATAATACAAACAAATGCATTTGATTTAGAAGAAGCAAAATATCACCATAGTATAAGAACATGAGTATTCACCTTGATGATGGACGGTCTGCTTACCCTTAAAATGTATTATTTATATCAAATTATTACTTATAAAATATCTTCTTTGATTCATTGTTTCCTCTTATATCTCTGTTCGACGTTTTGATTCTTTTCTGATGATGGACGGTCTGCTTACCCTTAACATGTATTATTTATATCAAATTATTACTTATAAAATATCTTCTTTGATTCATTGTTTCCTCTTATATCTCTGTTCGACGTTTTGATTCTTTTCCCAGTAGAAGAAACGAAACATAGTCTGTCCTCATATTATCATTCCCTCACTATTCCACAACCTCACCTCTACTAGATCTGCTTCCTAAATACCTTCTTGGAGCTCTAAAACGATATCAGAGAGAGTTAGAGAGCTTAAGTGGAGAGAGAATGACACATGTTTGCCTTATTAGGAAGATTGCTTTTGTCTAAGTGGAATTGAATCTTGATTAAAATGAAAATGAAAATGGGCGAAGGAGAAGGGTGCAGTTATGTGCTCTTTGATCTATTCACCATTTTTCCAAAGAAAAAAAATAGTAAATTATTGTCAGCTAGTGGTGAAATATTTGAAGAAATAAATGCTGTTGGTGGATCCTATGATGGTCGAATTGGAGAAACTGCTACAACTCCAGGAAAATCTAAGGAAGGCGGTGATTCCAATGGATTGGGTATCAATAAGAGGGAGAGCTGATGTGTATTGCCTAATACTGCTGAGGATACGAACTGTAAGGAACTTGAATGGGGAAAGAAGATTGCCCATGGGGAGAGCCACTGTCATTGAGGGATAAGGAACATGGTTCTGCCTTGGGTGGCTTCACCTAGAGCCATCAGGCTTTGTGCTGCACGAAAATGTGTGTGCTAGCAAACCAATTGAAATTTTGTATGTTCATTGAGATCAAAGAGTTTTGTAATTATATATGTTTATGAAGTTATCCTCTTTGGGCATGAATGGGAAGGGGTGAATAAAATTGAACCTTCTTTATTATAATTTGAGAAAGATTTATGTTATCTCAAATACTTTTCTGGCATTGAAATGGCTCATTTGAGGATTGCTGTTCCTATTTTCCAATGAAAGTATGTTCTTGTTGTGTTAAACAAAACATGGATTCTTGGTTCTTGGTTGGCTCACCCTTATATTGATCCAACAACAAAAAAATGGAGACTGAAGTATGAAGCCATCACGTGGATGAATGTAGATAAAAGAAATTTGTCGTTAAGCTCATTTATCTTTCTCACACGACTAAACATCTATTTTACCATGAGCATGGCAAACCGTTTCATGAATTCCCTTGGAGGAACACTTAGTATTGTAGTTTGCTTTAGCTAAATGCTACTTGCTCATGTTTTAATAGCCTTGTTATCCAAGCCGTGAAACTCAAATTGGCATTTTATCAAAGTAATCTATGAAGTCAACTTTTTTTCCTACAAATCAAGCTGAGGATTATATTTTTAAGTGAAAGCGAACCTATAAAGAATTAATTGATGGCTTTTTTTTTTCCAAACTGCTTTCGCTTGGAAAGATAACTGAGTGTAAACAGACAATGCATCTAGCTCCAAAATTGTTATTTCCCTTTCAGTGCTATTCAATGTGTCACCATTGCTTTACATTTAATTTCAGAGCTTAAGTATTTCAATCATGTGGAGTCACGTTCTTGATCCATTCTTTTAATTGGAAAATAGCAAACAAAAACTGCATAGTTTTTTTTGGATTTAAAAATATTCAGATTTATAAAGTTTAGCATTCTGTTTAATTTTAAAAACTATTTGGGCCTATGAAATTTATGCTGCTCAATCATGATGTTCTCGAGTTATTTTTTGGTAATTTCTTTTTGATGTTCTTTTCATGGTTGCATTTCATATATAAGTTGATTTTATGTCTTATTTCTATTTATCAGAATTCCCTACAGTTTTCTTCTGTTGTTCAGCCTTTCAATGTAAACTAGAATAGTGGGGAGCGAAATTTCTTGCTTCATTTTTTAACCGGTATTGTTTACTTTCATTTTATTTTGATAATTAATGTTTTATAATATAGGGTTCAACAAGAGTCATCAGATGGGGCTGAAAGGAACCGTTTTCTTGTCAATTATGTTGACTACACATTCGATGATTTTGGCGGCCAACCAGCTTCAGTTTATCCCGGTTTATGTACAGTTTGGGGAAGCTTGGCTCGGAGTAAGGTTAGATTCAGATTGAACTGGTTAACAGGCATCATTTTCCTTTGTGTTGGTTACTTGTGCAATCTACATTGCAAAGAGAAAATTGTCAAAATAGCCGCTTTACTTAATACAAGGATCATTTTAGTCTCAGCGTGTAAGAGTGCCAATTTAATCTCTATAATTTTTTAATAGAAACTGAAAGAGTTTCCACGAAGGACTATTTTAACCCCTATTAAAAAAGTATGAGGATTATTTTTATTCTTTTATAAATTCTATGACTAAAATGACCACTTATAAATTGCAATTGATATTCATTCTCTTTTCATGGAATAATTGCTTGGTTTTCAGCATGCTTCATTTAAAGAGCTCCGCGTTCTGCATTATTAGTTCAGGATTTTATATTTTTGATTGCTGACTTTTATAACTTTGTCTCTGTAGATATCTTTTTATGTATGCTGGATTAAACATTGTTATTTAGAAATTTTTTTACTTTGATAAAAAAACAAGAGAACAACTTACGCCTTTTGAGTTTCTTCATTGGTCAAATTTTTTACTTTTCTTTTTTCTTGTACAGTGTCAAAATAGCTCCCTAACTGTTTATGTAGAGTCATTTTAGTCCCTATAAAATTATCAATTTAGTCCCTAGACTTATTTCAGTACCAATTTTAAAAAATTAGGGATTAATTTACTATCTTTGTAGGTTTTGGGACTAAAATGATCTTATGTAACCAGTTGGATTATTTTGACACTTTCTTCACTACTTTGTAACCAGTCGGATTATTTGGTATACTATTTTGTGTGCAGGCCAAGGGACGGATTATTTTGACACTTTCTTCATTACTTTTAAGATATTGATTTTTATATTTATTTGGTATACTATTTTGTGTGCAGGCCAAGGGATACAGGGTTGGACCGGTTTATGATGATGTTTTGGCGATGGCTTGGTTCTTCTTGGAGCTTATTGTCAAGTCAATGGCATTAGAACAAAACAACATTCATTCACACAATATTCCTGCAGGTAATTTTTATGTGGTTTTTTTTAGAATTTCTTTATCAGTTAATTATCATAGCCTTGAATCAAATGCTCTTTTCATGCTTGTTTAGCTGTTTATCTTTTTTTTTTTTTTGGAAATAAATGTTAATTTGGATTTTTCTTGTATTTGAATGTTCTTTGTCCATATTTTAGCATATACTATTTTTTTTCCTTGTCTGCCATAAATTGATCAAAATTTAGAAAATGTTTGTTCCGAAAAAATCAGATTGGTTCGTCAATTCCTCAATGGCGGCCGACAACGACAGTGGTGGTGTTGGGGGGGGGTGTGGGGCGGGGGGGGGGTCGGGCAGTAGGCCAACAACATTGGTGCCCTGCAGCGGTGGCCAGCGAGCAGCGGTGATGCCCGACAACAATTTATTTACATAAGCTGTCAATACAATTTTACATTGAATTTCAATTCCTTTAGAGCAACAACAACAATAAAGCCTTAATCCTACTACATGGGGTCGGCTACATGAATCCTTTTTCTCCATTGTGTTCTATTTAGTGTCATATTTTCATTTAGTTCTAGTAAATTAAGATCATTATTTATACAATAAGCCCAAGTCTTTCTAGGTCTACATCTGCCTTTCTTAACACAAGTCGAATCTAAAACCTCTACTCTCCTAATCAGATCATCAGATGGTCGACGTTTAATGTGACCAACCCATCTAAGACGACTTTCTCTAATTTTTTCCGACACGGGAGCTACAAAAACCTTATCAAGGATATATTCATTTCGTATTTTTTCTCTAAGT